TAGGTTAATTTTACTTGCACAACACATCTGAATGATTCATAGTTTATAGTTTCTGTTGAATTCTAAATTTGTCAAATTACTACCCAAAATGGTTTCGTGCTGCATTCTCAACAATACTGATTGATATTTGAAAGCAGAAGAGTTTGTTTTTCATGCTTATTTGATTTTTGCCCACACAGTTTTAATTGAGTAGTTTGTTGTCTCTCCGTTCTCTTGTCTTTTTCCATGCATAGTAATCCTCTCAGGGCCTGCTGGGTATTATCTGAACCGCTGGCAGAGTCTAGGACATGAGAAATTTGGTTTTTGATTATACTCAATCAAAGCAAAAGCTTCACACAAGCAGTGATGGGCTTCACCCAGCATGACACGAAATGTGCACAACGTCACAGCAAACGCCTGGAGCCACCAGGCTTTTGATTAGACATTTACAATTCTACATTACTAGGATCAGCTCAGTAACAAGAATGTCAGTCACTAACTATTTTGCCATAAAGGTTTAATAATTAGGCCTAAAACTGTGAATATAAAACAGAAACAGACATTGGGAAGTAAGCGCTAGCTGATTACTGCTCACATGTTTGTTCAGCCCGCTGCCAAAGCCTCCATTTGGCAGAGGTTTTAGCTTGATTTTTAAGTTGGTGTTTGCATTGACTGTAATATCATTTTTGTTCTTCACACTGCGGCCATCCAAAAGTTGAAGGGAATTAATTTAGCATTGCTGTCCTCCCTAGTTATAATGATTGTCATTACGCTAATGGTACCAGTCATGCAGTTTGTTTTGCTTAGTTTTGGCGAAACATTATCTGAGGTCCCAGTCATTTTGTCAATCCAGCCTCTCTTCCCAGTTCATTTATTCTGTATTGAGATTATTAAAGTGGTCCTCGTGGACTGTCCCTCACATTGCCTGAGTTTATTACCAAAAATTTGAATAATTGTGATTTTTAATATTTTTGAAAGTCTCACCAAGACTGCATTTATTTGATCAAAAATACAATAAAAACAGTAATATTGTGAAATATGTGTGCAATTAAAAAAACTAATTTCTAATGTGATATATATTTTAAATGTAATTTATTCTTGTGGCAAAGCTGAATTTTCAGCAGTCTTCAGTGTCACATGATCCTTCAAAAATATCTATCTATCTATCTATCTATCTATCTATCTATCTATCTATCTATCTATCATCTATTATTTCTGGTTCAGTGTGTTCTTTTTCAATTCCTCGTCTTCTGAAGCATCTCTTTAAATGAAGGACTCACTCTGATGAGCCACTGTATTTCTATGTGAGTGTAGCAATATCATATATCAATATCTCTATCATTTTCTATAGCCGTCCTTGCAAATTTATCTCATAAAACCATCTGCACAGCGTCTGAAAGGACCAATTACTCTGTGATTTCAATCAGTTGATCACTTTTGGTCGTGAATAGGAAAAGTCATTGTTATTCTATAGAGTGAGCAAATATAATTATACTTAAGTACATCTGTATGATGACTACTTCAACAGAAGATCTGTTTGTCTCATTGTAGAATGAGTGGCATTTCAGACAACGCTACATACAAAATATTTTGTCTTTTGCACAATATTTGCTATTTCAATTAGATATCGTGTATGTTCAAGTTCATTTCAAGTTCGTTTTATTTGTATAGCACAATTACAGCAGCTGCTAGGCTGACCAAAGTGCTCTACAGAAGAGAAATTTATAAAAACATACACAGAAAACAAGCCGAATAAAAATATGAACAACCCATTAAAAAATTACCGAATAACAGTAATCAATACACTAAAGAAAACAGATAGGTTTTTAGCAGGGACTTAAAGACAGGCAGAGAAGGGGCCATTCTAATTTCTAAAGGCAGGGTATTCCAAAGCCATGGCCCTGCCACCGCAAATGCACGCTCCCCTCTACGCTTAAGTCTAACATGTGGAACTACCAACAAAGTCTGGTCGCAAGATCTTAGGCTTCTAGATGGAGTGTATAAATGAAGAAGTTCAGAGAGGTAGATAGGAGCTAGGTTATGTAACGATTTCAAAACAAAGAGTAGAATTTTGAAGTCTATTCTCTGATGAACCTGCAGGTTTAGATATCCTGCACTACAAGGAAGTGTAGTAATCTAGTCGAGATGTAACAAATTGTATCAAAAGCGGCCGATAAATCCAAAAGAATAAGAACCACAGAGTCTCCAGAATCAGTGGAGAGATAAATATCGTTTAACACTCTCAAGAGGGCAGACTCAGTGCTGTGAGCAGACTTAAAACCAGATTGAAAAACCTCTTAAATACAATTAATTGTCAAAAAATTTTGAAGTTGATCCAGCACAATTTTCTCCATTACCTTAGAAATGAAAGGTAAGACAGAAATTGGCCTAAACATTTTTTGAACAGAAGAGTCAAGTGATGGTGTATAAGAGTTTTGTATAGAAAGTTTTTTTTACAGATATGAATGCTCTTCTCCCTCCCTGATGTCTCAGCCTTGATTACTCTCTCCCCATCCCTCCACTTCATTGATCTCTCTCTTCTGCACTCCTCTCTGCTGCTCTCAGGCTCAGGGTCTAGTTCAGCACTGTCTGATCCCAGTCTGGTTTTCAAGGAGTTGAAATGCTGTCAGTACAAGATCAACCACAATTCTCACGAGTCCTTTTCTCTATCCATCCCAGACTAACAGCATTCAGTCTTCACATTTCAAAGCAAACTCTCTCCATCCAGTGAGATTTTCTTTTACTCATCCAACTTTAGATTTTCTTGCTACAACCATGCCTGCTGTGAAATGTTGAATCTCTCTAGTTTTAGTTTGACTTGGTAACCCTGTGGAAAACCAACCCGCTCAGCTGGTGACAAACACATGGGACATGATTTGAAAGTAACAACATTTCAACTTTGAGATGAATCAGAGACAATCATTAGAATATTCTTAACCCAAATGGTCCATATCATTTTATTCTCTCTTTATTTCATTAAATATATGACATCAAATTATATAACTCACTATCCCGAAATCCAACTGTCCTCACACCATAATCATCAGAGACCATAAATAACATTTAAGAAATGTATTCTGTCATATATGTAAAAATATATAAAAATATATGTATTTTATAAAACTTGAAATTATAATATTTAATATACGTTATCTATATATAGTTCCCATTCACTGTAAATGCAAATTTCACGGAAAAAAAAGTGACCAGCCCATTCTTCAAAATGTCTCAGTTTGTGTTCTACAGATGAAAAAATAAATAAATAAAAATATAAAAGTCATATGGAAGGACATGTGGTTGATTAAATGAAAAACTGAAATGTCTCTTTCAAAGAAACATTACTGCTGCACTATTTCACTATTTTACTATTGTATAAGGTTTCACAACTGTGTCCCTCTTGTCAACAACATCAGATATTCATGAAATATCTACATTAACATGCCGACTAACATGTCACAATAAACCCAGAGGGGCTCATAAGCGGTGTGCTAATATTGCTGCTCTTACACACACATACAGATTCATAATTAGGATTATGGAGCCCAATGAAAGTATTACCATTGGTGTTGTTTCACAGCAAGGTCTGTCAGTGTCTGTATTATACTGTCATATAGCTGGAGATATGAAAACACTGTCTGAGTGAGAATGCAATTAAAATCTTATGTTCCACTTCCTAGGAGGTTCAAAAGATAATTTAACAGTACCATATTTGATGGTAAGTTTTGACAGTACTTCCTGCTGGATCCACAAGCCTTGTGTTTCAATTCTATCTCCTCTGATTATTATTTTTTTTCCCCATGGTGATGTTTGTGGTGTTGGATGATTGAAATGGCTCTATACCTGCGTGACTCAGGACTGGAGGAGGATGTGTTGCTGTCTTTCCTCTTCACTTCTTCACCGTACTCAGTCTGGCGCTCGCTGTTGCATAACAACCTGAAAAGGGACAGGCAAAAAAGCATCGTTTCATCCTCTAATGTTGCTGTATTAGAGAAGAGAGAGTTTCTTTTATGTTATTATTATTCTGCTTGTTTATATATTTATTTATTTGCATCACTGGTTGTCAGTTTCGTTGGTTGATATTACTTGTTTACTGGCACTATATATATATATATATATATATATGCATTTTAAAAAATCCAGGCTTATTAGATGAACAGATAGTAGAGGCATCAGACACCTCACCTGCTGAACCAGTACAAATACCACTTTTTCCTGTCATTACTGTTAAATTTCAGTTTGATTACAGAGGAACAAAACATTAGATTAGACCAGGCAGATATTCTGAGGATCACTTCATATCACAAAACATTGGTTCTCAAAAGAAATGACTAATTTCATTGTTGATAAAAAAGTTCATTCTTATTGTAATTACAATAATCAAGTCGACTCAACTTTGCATGTAGTTCTTTTCACAATACATACTGGCAAAGCACACATTAAAATATATTTAAATACAGTATATTTTTATACAAATATTTTAGTTACATAGTTATGTGTTCATTGAATAAATTATTTATTTATAATTATCTCATATGAATTTAAGTTGACAGGGATCATTTATCAATGCTTTTCAGTTTTCATTTCACCACATTTTTTTGAGTGGAGTGGAGGTGGAGCTGTGTTAAATGATGGGATTGTTGGTACAGAACAGCAACTGTTATCAACCTTTCTCAAACAGCATAAAACATCTGCCAACCTAATAATTCCTGCTTTTCATGCATTGTCATGGCAGTGCTTTGCTCACATTTGTAATTGTTTATGAATCTTGGTGCATTTCCGCAGTGGGGATCACAGGTTCTAGCTTTCAAATAAAACAAGAGATTGCTGACAAACCATTAAAAAGTGAAGCGGATTTGATGTGAAATGGCATTTTAATGCCATTGTTGCGAAGGGCCCAGGGGAGCGACAACTGATCTGTTTCCTCACAAATACAGACTGGATTTTGTCAGGATAAATATGTTCATCCTGATTTATATTTTCATTCTCTTTTTTTATTGTCTCTTTCTCTGTCACTTTCCCAGATACACCAAGATGAAGACGGCAACCAACATTTATATCTTTAACCTGGCACTGGCCGATGCACTGGTTCTGGCTACGCTTCCCTTCCAGGGCACGGATGTGTTCCTTGGTTTCTGGCCCTTTGGCAATGCCCTGTGCAAAGCGGTCGTCTCCATCGATTACTATAACATGTTCACCAGTGTGTTCACCTTGACCGTGATGAGCATGGATCGATACGTGGCCGTGTGCCACCCGGTGAAAGCCCTGGACATGCGGACGCCCCACAAGGCCAAGGTGGTCAATATCTGCGTTTGGGTCTTGGCTTCAGCCATAGGGGTCCCGGCTATGGTACTTGGAGATGTGGAAAATGACAACGGTAAATGTGTGTGTACAGTTATGACCCCATTTATTTTATTTTATTTTATTTTATCTTATCTTTTACTTAATATTACCTCAACTCTTTTATTTGATATTCATCACTGCATGTTTTTCCAAATTTTAAAAAAGCCTTCTCAAAAGTAAGTGCTGTAATAATTTTAATTATTAAAGCAATAATTGTTTTTAAAGTTTAGAATAATTACAGTTTTTTAAATGTCTTTAAAAGAAGGCTCTTATGCTCACCAAGGCTGCATCTATTTGATCACAAATACAATAAAAACAGTAAGCTGAATTTTGTAATATATAAATAAATAAAAAGGGTAGTTGTGACTTTTTGTCTCACAATATATACTTTTTTCTTGCATTTCAGTTTAGATCAGCCAAAATTGCAAGATATAAAATCAGAACTGCAAGATATAAAGTCAGCATTGCAAGATTTAAACTTAGAATTCTAAGTTTATAGCTCACAGTTATGACTTTTTTTTCAGAATTTCAAGATAAAAAATCTGAACTGTGAAATAAAAAGCATATTAGAATGATTTCTGAAGGATTATGTGACACTGAAGACTGGAGTAATGATGCTGAAAATTCAGCTTTACCATCACAGGAATAAACATTACATTTACATTTTAAAATATATTCAAATAGAAAACAGTTATTTTAAATTGTAATAATATTTCACAAAATTATAATTTTTACTGCATTTTTGATCGAATAAATGTAGCCTTAGTGAACAATAGAGACTTCTTTAAAAATTTTCATATTAAAAAATATATATAATTATTCCACACTTATGAAAGGTAGTGTATGTCAAATGATGAAAATAAAATAGGTTGTAAAAGCTATTTCCTGTCGACTTTAATGTGAAAGGTTCCCTCAACTGCAGAAAATGTGAGTATAATCAGAGCAACACACAGGCCAGTCAGTGAATATTAAACATTTATGCAGCATTCAATTGGGAGCAGACGTTTTACTATCACAGGATGCACCAGCATGCCGAATAACAAATTGCAACACCTGAGACCTACAGGGGAATCATAATATGACTGTATATGTGTGTGGGGTTTGTTTGTCAACAAAACACGTGCTGTTAAGAGGCTTTAAGCACATCCAAAGCATTACAGTGTTAATAATTTTGCTGTTATTGGATCCATTGAGGTTACAGTAATTGCTCTGCACACTTTTCTGAAAGCAGAACCACGGGTGACCCAGAAGGGCCTTTCCTCCCTGTGGCTTTGAGCTCTTGATAAACATAACATTTCCTAATTGAATGAGGTTTCCTTTTAGTAGAAAAGAGCATGTAAATACCTTGCTACATTAATTGTATTAGCAGGGAACAGGTTTAAAACCATGCTGAGCTCACTTTTCCTCTAAGAATATAAATGTGTGCATTCAGCATGTGAGTGTGCGTAATGAATGTCTACTGAGGCAAGCCAAACTGAACCCAAGTGCAGTATTTATTGAACAGAAATGTAAGTGAGATACAATACAAACATAATCCATGAAACAAAGACCTGACTTGATGACTTGACATGAACATGAACTCACCAACAGTAGTACAGGAACAAAGCTAAACAAGACAATGGCAACATTAGGGCTATTTATACACAATACTATATTATTAAAAAGAAACCCCTGTGACAATCAAGATAAAGACACAATGAGAACACATGACTAAAACAACCAATCACAACAAGACACATTGAAAAAGGGAGCACATGACAAGTTACATGAGGGCAAGAGGATCACATAACAGACCAGGAAACATAACCATAACTAAAAGTACAAAATAAGACATGAAAACATGAACACAAAACCAATGTGACATACCCCCCCCCCAAGGGCGGCTCCCGACGCCCTAACACCACCCAAAACCAACTCCAGGAGGGTGGAGGACTGGAGGTGGTCGAGGTAGGATGGAAGGCCAGGCCCGTGCAGAAGAACTTGACCTGGATCATGGCATGGTGGCAGTCCTGGACCATGGAGTGGAGGCGAGCCTGGACCATGGAGCAGTGATGGAGACCATGGATCGTGGCGTAGAGGGCAAGACCATAGGTCATGGAGCAGTAGGTCTTGGTGCAATGGTGGATCTGGGCCATGGAGCAGAGGCGGGCCTGGACCGTGGAGCAACCATGAAGGATTAGGGAAACAGGGAAGAGCCAGAGACCAGGGTGGAGCCAGCAGAGTAGGAAGCAGGGGCGGAGCCAAAAACCACCAAGGCAGAGCAGAAGACTACCAGGGCAGAGCGGAAGACCACCAGGGCGGAGCAGCCGGGACCGAGAATCCCCACGGTGGACCAGATGACAACCAGAGTAGAGCAGGTGACCAAGGTGAAGCCTGCGGAGCAGAAGACCAACACAGGTCAGGAGGCCATGGCGGAGAAGAGATGTGGACGGACCATCTGGCTGTGATAGAACAGGTAGACAGTTTGTGAGTGGACTCCATGGCTGTGACATGACAGGCAGAAAATCCTTGAACGGCCTCAGTGGTCGTAGCATTACAGGCAGAGAGTTCGTGAGCAGCCTCCATAGCCGTTACATGACAGGCAGAAAATCCTTGAACGCTCTCATTGGCCATAATATTGGGCTGACTGTGAGTTCAGGGACGGCCTCCTTGGCAGTGACAGGACAGGCTGAGAGCTCAGAGACGGCCTCTTTGGCTTTGACATGACTGGCTGAGGGTTTACATATGACCACTGTGTTCAAAACAGAACAGACTGGAAACTGAAAGGCTGGTGCCAACACAGGACTGAGCTCTGGGGCTAGAGTAGGCTCTGGAACAGATTCATGAACTGGAGCGCAGTGTGCAGCCCAAACACACAAAATGGCAACCACCATCATGGGAAGTACAGCTGATGGAGGGAGGACCTCTAGGCTGGACAGCACTGAGGCCATTGGGTTTGAAAGTGTTGAGGCCACCGGGATGCCATGCAGCCACTCACACTGACATCACTGGTGGATGCATGACACTGGCCATTAGGCCACAAGAGCATGTGTCCTATAGTCCCTCCCCAAAAAATCCTTAGGGGAAACTTGCATGGGGGCTGTGGCGTAACAGGACTCTGGTATGGTGGCCATGGCGTGACAATCCTCAGGCATGGTGGACATCTTGGCCATAGACTCAGGCTTGGTGGCCTTGACATGAAGAGGCTTTGGCTTGGCAGGCATGACGTGAACAATTCCTCATTTGCTTCTCCCACAGTAAATGAGGAGCCACTCAACAACAAGGCATAGTCCATATATTGAGCCAGGGAAAAAAAAAAATTCCTCCTGGCATCCATGAACGAACGGGCTCATTTAACCCATAACAAATAATGTCCTTAAGAGCCACGTCATTAAAATTCACCAAATGGCACAGTCCAAAAAAGTCCGCCACATAATCCTCTATACAACGATTACCTTGATGAAGGCAAAGCAAAGAAACTGCTGGGTCCATTGTAACGGTCTAGCTTTCTGTAATGAAGGTATACTGAGGCAAGCTGAATTGAATCCAACTGCAGTATTTATTGAACAGAAATATAAGCGAGATACAAAACAAACATAATCCATGAAACAAACAAAGACCTAACTTGACTTGACTTGATGACTTGACAACTTGATATGAATATTAACTCACCAAGAGTAGTACAGGAACAAAGCTAGACAAAAGGGCTATTTATACACAAGACTAAATTACTAAAAAGGAACCCCTGTGACAATCAAGATAAAGACCAGTGGCGGCTGGCTGGTCAATAGGGGGCGCTGCCCTCCTCAACTTAGCCATGGAAGAAGCCTACTTCACCATGTTAAAAATACGTAAAAAATATGTTGCAAAATAATCACAAAATTGCATTATTTAGTCATACTATTTGACTGGTAGTCATGTTAGCACCTATTAAAAAAAATAAAAAATAAAACTCTATTTCGTTTGTTGTGTGTGCGGGTTGTCGGACAAATTGGTGGCTATTAGGTCCGTAAACTTTTGAAAAGCATGTGACTTGAGGCTGAGCTCTAATTGGCTTGTTTCAGATTGTCATCAGGGTGCAGAGCACTGTGCCCCATACCTGCCCACTTTTGATTTTAGCAAATCAGTATTGTTTTTATTTATTTTGGCCTTATGTGATTGGATATCTCTTCCGAGATGAAAGTAAATTTGATTTTATCTTTACAAAAATTCCTTTCACAAGACATTTAAATGAAGGAAAAAAAATACGGATCATGGAGCTTGGACGGAGTTGGGTAGCTGGATGGGATGCAAGTCATGCCTTTTTATTGTTTTCGCTGTTTTTTATTTCAAAGTCCTATCACTGAAGCATTGTGGACATCGACACAGAAGGAAACTGAAACAATGCAGTTTAACTTGAGGCAATCACTCAATTTATTGAACAATTTTCACAGTTTTTAAACTGAGATCTTAAAGGATTTGATATCCTGTAGCTCCCTCATGTGGACAACATTAGTATTATGGCCTTCATCTCTAAATCACATTAATATAAATGGCTGATATTTTTTTTAATAATTACACGTTTAATGATTACTTTACTAACAATACACCCACATTAAACTAAAATTCACTGATTCGTGGGATCTTATTTCATGCTTTAACAGTTGAATTTTCAACTTCCATTTTTTAGCTAAGCAGTAATTATACATTATTATGTCACTTTTTAAATGGTTATTTAATTTTTTTTAGCACCAGCCGCCACTTATAAAGACCTAATGAGAACACATGACACATGACTAAACAACCGATCACAACATGACACATTTACTAAGGGAGCACATGGCAAGATACGTGAGAGCAAGGGAATCACATAACAAACCAGGAAACATTACCATAACTAAAACTACAAAATAAGACATGAAAACCTGAACACAAAACAAAACCCAATAACCAATATGACAGTGTGCAATGCATTTTTAGTGTGTAAGAGTGAATACAGGTCATCTTTTTTTAACTGTGACATTTTATGACATTATTTTCATCCACAAATTCTCATTACTGTGTTTCACTTTTGAGATTATTATTATTATTATGTATTATTTCCATCTTTCTGATTAGGCTTTCTTTATTATAATACACTATATTTGAAATTAATCAGCATGAATTAATGGCAGTACAAAAAAATGCTACCATGATTTACAAAAAAAAAAAAAAAGGTAATGTCAAGAAAATATTGTCTTATTGGAAAATTATTTAATGATCTGTAGACTTCACATATTTTGTGACCTGTTAACTCGTTCTATTTTTGTCTGCTCATTTCTAATTGTGTATTTGTGTATATGTCCTGAATCTCTGCTTTGCCCTCTGCGACATCTTTTCAACACCCTCTTCTCTTTCATAATCCATTATTCATTAACCTAATAGATCCTGAATAATAGTGCATAAGCCCATTTAGCTGTATTGTGTTGAAAAACCTTCTCTGATCTCTAGTTCCCTCTCAGTGAAATAATCACCACTAAACCAGCACTTTAGAAATAGAACACAGTATTATGAAGGAAAAAAAATACGGATCATGGAGCTTGGACGGAGTTGGGCAGCTGGATGGGATGCAAGTCATGCCTTTTTATTGTTTTCGCTGTTTTTTATTTCAAAGTCCTATCACTGAAGCATTGTGGACATCGACACAGAAGGAAACTGAAACAATGCAGTTTAACTTGAGGCAATCACTCAATTTATTGAACAATTTTCACAGTCTTTAAACTGAGATCTTAAAGGATTTGATAGCCTGTGGCTCCCTCGTGTGGACAACATTAGTATTATGGCCTTCATCTCTAAATCACATTAATATAAATGGCTGATATTTTTTTTAATAATTACACGTTTAATGATTACTTTACTAACAATACACCCACATTAAACTAAAATTCACTGATTCGTGGGATCTTATTTCATGCTTTAACAGTTGAATTTTCAACTTCCATTTTTTAGCTAAGCAGTAATTATACATTATTATGTCACTTTTTAAATGGTTATTTAATTTTTTTTAGCACCAGCCGCCACTTATAAAGACCTAATGAGAACACATGACACATGACTAAACAACCGATCACAACATGACACATTTACTAAGGGAGCACATGGCAAGATACGTGAGAGCAAGGGAATCACATAACAAACCAGGAAACATTACCATAACTAAAACTACAAAATAAGACATGAAAACCTGAACACAAAACAAAACCCAATAACCAATATGACAGTGTGCAATGCATTTTTAGTGTGTAAGAGTGAATACAGGTCATCTTTTTTTAACTGTGACATTTTATGACATTATTTTCATCCACAAATTCTCATTACTGTGTTTCACTTTTGAGATTATTATTATTATTATGTATTATTTCCATCTTTCTGATTAGGCTTTCTTTATTATAATACACTATATTTGAAATTAATCAGCATGAATTAATGGCAGTACAAAAAAAATCTACCAT